CTCTTGTGGAAGAATGGGAAAACCATCCACAAGATGTGCTAAGACATCTCGTTTAATATATGTCTCAGCGGTGTCAAGCTGTTATTGGTGCCTATGATGTCATATGCGTTACTAAAGCTCGATGTTCTCAGTTTTACTTGAAGTTTCCAATATTACAAGTATTCGCCATATTTTGGTTTTGGTACTGTTCCTAAACCTTAGCTTATATTAAAGATTAATTGGAGTTGAATTTCTAATTTCTGGTTATTAGGTAACTTTGAGAGGCATTTAAATATGCGTTCCGCTAATTTCTTTGAGCAGTGTGCATCAACTATTGCTTTAAAATCGATCTTAAATCATCTATAGATTATTGCATTCTTTGTTTGTAGGTTTAGTTTCTGACCAAATAATAGTATATTATTATAGTAGAGATAATGCAGGCTATTCACGAGGATAAGGTTTACGTCTCAAGTCACCAGGCGAGAGACTCAAATCATCCGATTGAATAATGTGCATAATCTCGAGTATAATACTATACTTTATCTTCTTAAATAAGTAGATAATAAAATGATTTTAAAAAATAAATAAAATCTGACATCTGTCAAATGTTTAACCTTACTTTTTACCAATTTTAAATGTTATTATAGTCGCATTCTCCCAATTTGAAACTCGATTGGTACAAATCACAGTGGATGTTGAAATCGGCCAATCACTGATGCCTAACAACGTGAATAATTCCCGTTGTTAGGCAGGGAATTTATAATGTTTATCATTATTCACGAAAGAAAAATATTATTATACTTGTATCTATTGTAATAGAAGTAGATAAATTTGTTTTTATAACATATAATATATATTTAGGCTGAAGGACCCCGGTCGATGGCCTTTTGTATATTTTGTATTATATGTTCTGTATTGTACTGAATATGCAATAAAAACTTTATTTATTATTTATTTATTTATTTAATATATATTTATTAAATAAAAAAAGTAATTTTAACTAAATTATATTCTTAAGATGTTTTAGCAAACTAAATAAGACCTTCTTCTATAAATGCGTAATTTATTATGAAATGTTTTGAGTTGACAGCACAATAGTTGAAAAATATATTATTACATTATATCTTTTAATGGATGGGAAATATTTTTAAAACAAAAACGAAAATATTAAATCTAATTACCATCAAATATGTTACTTACAATGGTAAGCTAGGACAAATATTTATTTTATATTAAACAATACAGAATAGTAATTAGAGACAACTTAATTATTATATTAATATTACAAGGTTGCATGTTACTGTTTACACATTTTGAGTAAAACGTAAAACAAAAAAAGCCCATCAGCCTTTAGGTACAGTCAATATTTTTCACTTGTGATTTTGCTTTGAGCTGATTTCATATGCAATCTTAGTAAATTCTCATGTTTATTTTGACTCAATTGTTGTTATATTCAAAATTAGTAAAATTTTGAAAAAAACATACAACTTTGTAATTTTTTTTAATTATATTTATTGATTATTTACGTTACATAGAACTATGACATTTTAATTAACTTAAATATTTTAATTACCGTATACTTCAAAATTAGAACTAAACTGAAAAAATAAAAACTACAAAAGAAAAATATTTAAAATACAAAAACTTTAAACAAATGTTCTAATTTTTTTGTGTTTTTTGTGCTTCTTTTTTGTTTCAACTTTTTAACTACCTACTGCCGTTTTAGTTTGTCCTGAACAGCTCGGCTTTGGTAAAATCACTTTTTCATTTTTTTCCCTGTTTTATTTACAACAGCCGCCTGGACGCTTAAATTGCTCTGCTTTGGTAAAATCGCTTTGTAATATTCTAGATCTACCTTGGGCATCCAGGGAAACATACTTCTTATAGCTTGTACTTTCTTTTCAGGCAGTTTTATCTTATCACGAGATTGCTTTATTTGGGCGATGTTATCGTTAGTTGCTCCCTTTCTCATCTTTGTTCGAAGATTAACGGTTGTGAAGATGTTTTGTAAAAAAGAGGTTTTGTACTTGATTTGAAAAAGAGTTTTTGTTAGCTCTAGCGATGTTACCTTTGAGAAAGGAACTGCGTCATAGTTAAAGTTTTGCGCATTAACTTGAAATTCCATAAAATCTGATGCTTGCAGTTGTATAAGCTTGTAGGGTTTGCGTTCTTTAACATTTTTTAGTGCACGCAATAATGAAACTGGGGAATAATATTCGGTAGCTCTTAAAGCTTTTTCAATACAACTATGTACCGCATCTACATCTTGAAGAGCAGAATGACCTGGCACAGAAAATTTCATTGTAACTTTGTAAAGTTTATTGTCTTTTTGTAAAAGATGACCAATTGCAAAACTCATTATACTGTTTCGATTTTGTGGTACACAGCTATCGCTCCAAAGCGTTATTTCTTCGATATTAGGATAGTCTAGTAAAACTGTGCTCAGGATCTTGTAGACAGCACTGGCCATATCATTACCATTTTTTCCTTGCAATGTCTCTGGCCATACTGCACAGTATACTTTTTTATCTATTGATAAATGAGCTGTCATATTATATACATTTAGCTTGCTTTTGTAAAAAAAGTTTTTTATTTCTGCTTTGGGGCATGTTAAGACATTTTCTAGGTCAAAGCACAGTACAACTTTCTTATCGTATTTGTCATTTTTTCTCTCTTCTCTCATTTTCTCTCTTTTATATGTTTTTCATACTGCTCAACCTTTTCTTTTGTATTTGCTTCCTCTTGTTTCTTAATTTTCACCTCCTCGCAGAGATCACATCTATCCTTTCTGGGTTTGTGAAAATAGATATTGAATTCGTTACAAAATATTTTTCTGTAAATGCAAAATTTTTTGGGCACTTTACATTTTTCTTCCATAAAAACTGTATACAATTCATACATTTTTTTAATTGATAAGTTGCCTTCTACATATTGTCGCTGAGTATTTGCCCGACAATAATGCGATTCAATGCGAGGAAATAAATTTATGTGATCTCTGATCAAATTTAGATCCTCATCTGATGTAAACATTTTTTTATGTTTTCCTTGAATACTGTGATGGGGAGTATCAGCAGGATTTTTTTTCTTATGAGCTGTGTACACTGGCTTTTGGCTGATGGAAAGGGTACCAAGATAAAACAACTTGCATACCTGCACTCTTTGTCCATTAATTTTAAAATAATATCGATAAGAAATAGTTTTTCTAAAATTTCCAGGTTCGGTTTCCTTTCTTCGATGATTAGGAAGAAAGCTTTCTGTAGTGGATAAAATAAACAAACGTTTTTCTTTCGATGTCAGACTGTAATATTCAAAAAAAATTGTTGAGCGCTCCTGTTCAGTTATTTTTTGTGCACATTTGTAAAAACATTTAGCTACGCAGTCTTTATTATTTTTTATATATCTGGCTGGAACCTGCTTGTTTCTCACCGAGGTATATTCTTCACCTTTGTCATATTTTAGCTTTCGAATATTACACTTCCATTTGGATTCGTTTCTTTGTAATTTTCTTGTAAGCCTCTTTTTAGGCTTCAACGTTGGAGTGATATCGAATAAAGTGGGCTCTGTTACAGCAGCTTCTTCCCCTTCCAATTCATTACTTTCTGGAGGCTGCACCTCCATTTGATTACTTTCTACAAGGTCTTCCAATTCATCATTAATTATTGTCGCTGTCGATTCAACATGCTCGTCATAACTGTGCAAAAATATTTTAATTACTTATTAAAAGAGATAAAACACCTCAAAAAATACCTGAGACTTTCGTCGCTATCCGATTTATTATCTGGAATAAATTCCTTATCTCTATCGGAGTCATAATCGTCAAAGTATGGATCCTGTTGATACTTCTCATTAAAATCCTCATCCATGTTTTTATTATTTAATTATTAACAAATTAATTACAGCACTTGTAAATGAGATGTCACACAGAACTCAGAATCTCACTTTAATAGCACATGAAGTTGCGTTAAAATGTTCGTATGTCAGAAACAAAGAACAATGCAAATTGAAAATTTGACGTTACCCAAGTATTGTTGATTGTGTCATTTTTGTGATTAAGCTAAATTCTCACAAAATGTCCGTATTTTTTGAAAACCCTAATGGACATACACCCTTGTTAATGTTAATTTATTTCCAAAGTATTTATAACAAAGGTGTATGTTTTAATTATTAAACATACACCTCTGTTGGTTTTATTAAACATATTAAAGCACATACACCTCCGTAATTTTCCTAATATTTTACTTAATATGGGTAATTCCATCTATGTTTTGCTTGAAAAAGAAAGATTTGGTAACATACAACCTTGTTATATTATTAAGTCGGAAAGTGCAAAAAACATGACATACAACCTTGTAATATTAGGGTGACGTATTGTTATAAAAATTAATTTCTTTATTTACTTTAAATTTTTATTTTTTTTTAACTTTTACCTCCGATATCATTTATACTCAAAAACCTAAAAAATCTTTTTGTGTATGTATATTATAAGACAAACTTTTGTAGAAAATTTTACGCTCCACAAAAAGATTTTTTATAATATATTATATTATATAGTTAGGTATATGTTTATTTTTTAGCGAGGTATGTTTTTTCTAAAATGAAAAAGTTTTCATTTTATCATTTAGGCATGGTTAAACTACATTGGATTTTTTTTTTCAAAATTGTTAACAAATAATTTAGATAATACCTACCCAATATAATTGTATTTATTATTTTTGCAATTGTTTTCTATGCCGGATAAAAAATGTTGGCATTCCTTTTAAATATTTCTGGGAACGTTTTATTATCAGATCATTGAACATAATGAAAAACACAACCATACAAGGTTTGAATTTAAATTTTATTTTGCAACTGAAAATTATTTTACATTTTGTATACTTCCCAAAACAATGAACTTTCCTAAGCTTATTTTTATTGTTTCATTTGCACAACTCATTTTTTAGTCTTACGCAATGTAAACCGTAAAGTGGCAGGAAAAATAATTTATGTTTTTAATGAGAACTTAATGTGTGTTTTTGTTTCAGACGGATATCTGTCGATGGTTAATTTTACTAATTTCGTTATCAACATGGATTTCGTTTACAAGTAAGTAGAATTTCTTTAATTATATCAGGGACATGCTTTTAGGCGGAGTTAGTAAAAATTAAATATTATAATTTGTACATATTTATTTATTTTATTTAAAATGTAGACGTTGGAAGTTTGTATTAAACAAAATTATAAAATATATAACTTAAAAATATTAATAAATTACAATGAATAATATCACGATAATCATACACTAGGGATCATTCATAATATTAGATTTTATTTAAAATGTAGACGTTGCAACGTTGGAAGTTTGTATTAAACAAAATTAAATAAAATTATAAAACATATAACTTAAAAATATTAATGAATTACAATGAATAATATCACGATAATCATACACTAGGGATCATTCATAATATTAGATTTAATTTAAAATGTAGACGTTGCAACGTTGGAAGTTTGTATTAAACAAAATTAAATAAAATTATAAAACATATAACTTAAAAATATTAATGAATTACAATGAATAATATCACGATAATCATACACTAGGGATCATTCATAATATTAGATTTTCCTGCACGACACTTTGACTACATATATTCCCAGTAGTACTGGGCCAGTACTATTATTGATCAAGGTAAGAAAATGAATAAGGTTTAGTACAGCCAAATTTGATTCGCAATCGTGTATGTGTGATCTCCGCTTTTTGGAAATCAGCAGATTTTAAAATGATAATAACATTTTTCCATTCTGTTGACGCTTAATAAAAACTTTTAATACTCAGTAAAAATAAATTATCAAAACGATTTCAAGTCATAATACTTCGTAGCCAATTATTGGCAATAAAAGTGCAATGTTAAAGAGTTTGTGATAATTTACATTAGTTTTAATATTTTTTTAAAAGAATAACATTATTAAGCCATCTCGATGTTTTATAGTGTTTTTTATGACGATCATTTCAGCTTTTTAAAAATCCTGCTGTATTTTAAATTTGGTAGCATAATGATTAACGAAGTGAGAACTACCATCAAAATAAAATATTGTAAAATTGTCGATAGCATTGGTCATTTTTTGACTTTCTGAGAAAAATATTTCCTTTAAATGGCCGATCATTGCGTCAAGTAAAGCATAAAGCATAATGCGCAAAGTATTTTTTGACGTTTTAAAATTAAAATAATACCTATAGAAAAAAAGAAAAAATAATTCATAAAATCTTGAGGGTGCTAATTTTATTTTTGGGTGTTCTTAACCCCCAAGCCCCCTCCTAACTTTGCCTATGGACATGCTATTAAAAGAAATACAAACGAAACTTAAAATCCTGAACAATTATTTATATTGTTCTTTATGGGAACTTGTAAATGCAAAACCATATCAAATCTAATAATCTAAATAATTATTGCCGAGAACATGAAAACAATACTGACGCTATAAAAGATGACCTTTTACATGCCAACCTTGGCAATTTTTAACAGTTCGGTCATGTATCAAAATTTAAATTGGTTCTCACCATTAAAACTAATTGATTAGAAGCGATAATTTAGCAATGCAATAATTATTAGAATTAATAACTGTATTTTGGTATAATAGTACTTAATGTCATAAGCCTAAAAAGTGATTATTTTTGTGCTGCGGAGGCCTAAAATTGAGCGAAGCACGAGACACTTCTGAGCCGCATGGCATAAAACATTTAATCTTCAAGGCATGCATAATTTTATTTGTTAAAAAATAGGATTGCCACATTTTAAGCAAAAAATTCCAAAATAAGGAACGTGGCCCTTAAATACTGTGAAAAATTTATTTTGAGTTGGTTTGGCAACTCAAAATAAATTCTTCATAACAAAATTAAAACGAGTTCAATAGAAATGAAGGACGAATTCCTTGCAGTATTAACTTTATTAATTATTAAATATTATCTATTATAAGGTTAAATACATTTTTGTATTTAGATAAAAATAATAAGTAAAAGTAGTAAAGAATAAGTCATGTAATATTAAATCCATTTTTTAAAAACTTATTTTTTATTTATTGGTTTTATCGATAAAAACCGTAATATTTTTGACGGATTGGTGGAGACAAGAAAAAAATGTGGATGGATACGCCTACGCATAAAAATCTCAAGAACAAAAAAATAAAAAGGAGGATATGATCTTGTTAAAAGAGGACTTTCCTCCATCAATGGAGTAAAGTAGTAATAAATTAGTAATACAAATTGTTTGTTTATTAAATTGTTACAGTTACGCATTCTTTTTGTTATAAAAATATTACATAAAATAAATTTTATATTTTATTGTTTGAAATGTAGTTGATATTCTATAGCTTTGTTGATTTTTTTTCAAAATTAGCAAATACTGTTTGTATTACTTGAATTTTATTTTTTTATTGAATTTTAAAAACGTTTGGCTTGTCAATGTTTTTTAAAATACACTGACTGCTTTTTTCAGTAATTAGTCAACAAATTGTTTTTAACGACCTGAAAAATTGACGCCAATTAATTTTGAACAATGACAGATTACGTGGTAACCACAGATACCGTCAACTCACTCGTCACAGGTTTTTTGATACAAAATAATACTTATTTTATTTTATTATTATTATTTTATAAATTGTTAAATATCACTGAAATTATTAACTTTAGGTTTAGGAAATAGTTACATTAATCGAAATGTTTTTTAATTTGCTATTTGATTAGGTAAAAACATACCAGGTGTTCCATTTAAAATAAAAAAGTTATTAACGCTTCAAGTTAGCACGATTTGCCTTGGGTTTTCACGGGTAATTTGTTGAAAAATGTTAAAGAATTGACATGTAATCTTTAAAACAATGTTTTAAGATTCCAAACATTTTACCCCCATATCCGTAAACCTAATAGCAAACATCTAGAAAACTATTCACTTTAGGTATAGGACATGGTATAGTAATTTTACTCAGAAGTTTATGTAGAATTTAAAAATATAAAAATATATGGGTCAAATATGACTTAGAATTAGTTATTTTTGACTAATTCATTTTAAGAGAGTACAAAGACGATATAACCATTCAAAAATCAGAGAAATTAGGCTAAGAGCTACTGCCGCAACCTCCGTATTCTCCAGATTAGGCCCCATGTGACTTTTTCCTTTTTTTAGAAAAACATTGGAGGAAAGATATATGCCTTAAATGCTGAAGTAATCGCGCTGTAGATGCATTTTTTGACGAAATCAAGCAATTGTTCTATTCCAAAGTAATGAAAAAGTTAAAATAAAATTATTAAGCTAAAAGGAGATTATGTTGAAAAATTGATTTAGCCCAAAATATTGCATTTTTTAACCATTCGCAGGACCCAATATCAATATGCTATTTGTCATAACCGGTCTTTTTTAATTTAAAAAAATCGATCTCTGGCATACCCTGTACAAAGAGCTAGTAAAGAAAGTTGTTTTGGATTTAGTTATGCCTTAATGTCATTTTGGTTTACTCTTAAATTAAATTATTAAGTTGTTTACGTGACTGAACACAAATTTAATAATAATTTTAGCATTCTGGGTCAGTAGCAGTTACTGATTTAATTAACAAATAATTTAATAATTGCTAGCTAAAAGGCATAAATTATTAAAATATTTAATCTGTATTAAAATGTATGTATACATTTGAAAGTCAATAAATTTTAATTGTTGGCCATATAAAACTTGTTATAGTTTTATAACCTTTTCAAATTACATAATAAATTATATGTACATTTATTAACAGTAATCTGCTTAATAAGTTATAATAAATTGATTGGGTACATTCCTATTTTATTAAAAATAAATACATTTTTAGATTAATATAGTACAACCTTAGCACACCATGACCTCTATGACACATAAGCACTTTCTAGATTTAAATTGGTGAGAAAATAATTGCTATAAAGTTTATAATAACAATGCACACAGGAGGTCATGGTTCAAATAGATGTACGTCCCTATTCGCAAATATGTGTAATTAGACAACAATTAATTAATCTTTAGGCTTCTCAAATTTCAAGTTAATAAAAATTATAGGTACGTGCCTATTTGAGGTTTTGAACAAAAAAATGTTTTGTCTTAAATGGAAAGATCATGACGCTACACATACGTTTTACCTGTGCCAGGTGTGTTAAAATCATGTATATCAAAATTGGCGTTTATAAACCATTTGGTACACATTACTAGAGACTTACTAAATTAAATTAGTTGCCAACAATATTTTTGTGCACTAATTTCACTTATTCTTACAGTAAATACACAGTGTGTATTACAGACATTATAGAAGCCGTCCTATCGTCAACACATTGCAACCTAAGATTACGTCCCAAACGTGGCAGACAAAAATTTTTACCAATTTTTATTGTAAAAAAAAATAAGTTTTTCTCTGAGAGAAAAAATGTAGTAGAATCATTCAAAACGATAATAATTCAAAGGGATTCAAATATGTTTTGGCGTCATTGGTGTGTCCCATTAAATTAATAGGTGTATAAAAATTGTATAATACATATCTTTTTGAAAAAACGTTGAGAAGGCAATGAAATAACAAGATTTCTTTTTGTATATATATTTTAAAGAGGGTACACTTTAAAAGTTTTTAAAAACATTGTAAAACTGTTGATAAATGAATATAAAACTACAAATTTTTTTATTTGAATTAAATTTACCCGATTATTTAAATTAATATAATTTCATATGCTTTTCATGACATGATATTTCTCTGAGTGCAGTTAAAGTGTAAGATTTTATATAGGAAACTAAATACTTTTATACCGGTTGGAATTTTATTTTTTTAATCAAAATTAAATAGTATGTATTTTGGTTTTCTGTAGGCTGAACAATCAACAACATTCTACAACATTTCCGTTTTCCTTAAAAATAACATTTTAACCTTTGTTGGTAACAAATTAAAGGTATTTAAAAATATGTTTATTAAAAGCGCCAATTTAATAGGCATTAAAACTTTGTAATTTATTGTTTGTTTTGCTGATGCGAAAGACTTTAAGCGTAGATTGTCCAGTCCCACACTGGACCAATTTAATTAAGCTAAATGGGGGAAACCAAAAAAGTTCTTGGGTTTATCCATGCAACAACGCATCAGTAAGCAAAATATGTTTTATAAAAAATGTAGCTTTAAAAATTGACAGTATTTTAAAAGTCTGTTGGGTTGGGTTGGGTTGGGTTGTGTGCGATAAACGGTTCTTAAGTTATTAAAATAAAAAGTTTGGGTTTTTTCAAGAAGGCGGGCGATGGCGGCGCGGGGGTTGTTCTGATTAATATTTTTATGATAAAGTTATAATATTATTTATGATAAAGTACCTAATAATATTATTTTTGGGCAATAATTGAGCCGTGGAAGTACCAACGGGGGTATGTGCCATTTTTGTTGTTAAAAATATTAATCCAAACAAGGGGTATTTGGTACTTCCAGGCCACAAATTTTAAGGCCCTCAATTGTCAGTTAATCGTGTTATTATTTTCTACACATTGTACAGTACAACATTATTTAATAGTTTCTTGATGCAAATCTTAAAAAAGTATAAGCACTTTTGTACTGACCTTTTGATTTCGCCGGCAACTAGTGGGTATTTCGATAAAGCATTAATAATTTCGGGTGGAGTACCCATATCGGATTTAAACGGTTTTTACTAAAAAATGGACTAAAAACTTTTTAGTCCATTTTCAAGGGGGAAATTTCGATTTTTATAGGAAAATTCTACTCCAACACCAACATTTCGAAAGCCTGTGAAACAGATTCCTAAACTAACTTTGGTTACTCTTTTATTTAGTAAAACTATTTAGTTAAATATTTGTCGTTAAAATAGTAAAGTGCGCAACTAAACTTTTCTGGACACTCATTTTTATTAAATACTAGCTCGCAAGCTTTGCTCGTGCCTAATAAGAAAAGTCTTTTTTATTAATGGGATTAAAACAACATTTTATTAATTATAAATTTAACGTATCAAGTTATATAAACGCAATTTTAGTTATAGTCGCCGCGGCGAATGTTTTCCGTTGCGTCATCAATTTTAAATGTAAAAACCGGTTTGTCGACATACGTCCGGCATATATTTCACATACGCCTCGGCGACTATACAAAGAAAACAGCTAATTGTAATGTATGTGCTTGGTTCACAAATTAATGACGCAACGGAAAACATTCGCCGCGGCGACTATAAGAGTTGTAATTATTCAATAAAAACAAGTATCTACAAAAGTTTATAAACGAGTTGCCTACTAGTAGATAAATTATACTATAATTTATCTACAAAGAACACAGACAAATCTAAAGCCAATTTTATTTGTGAAACATTTGACATCTGACAACTGTCAGACGAATTTAACCTTACTTTTTACCAATTTATAATAAAGCTAACTTCAGCCCGTGACTAAAGGGTCTGAATGTCACTGCTGTAGTTAGCAGCTCGTGCAAGAAAACTCTATTCTTAAAGAGTTATAGCTTGTCAATGTGGGAGTAGATAAAATGTAGACTGTAGTTGATTGATTAATTTTTTAGTTCAAATCTTACTTTTTGAGATTTTTGAATAGGCATAACAATTATTGTGTTTAAATTATAACGAAATATATATTTTTTTCAGATTCGAAGGAGATGCGCGTGGTCTGTTACTACACGAATTGGTCAGTATACAGGCCTGGAACGGCAAAATTTAGTCCACAAAATATAAATCCATACTTGTGCACACATTTAATTTATGCTTTCGGTGGATTTACTAAAGAAAACACATTGAAGCCGTTCGACAAATACCAAGATATTGAAAAAGGTAAGTTGCAAAAATCGTTGTTAGTAATAATAATTTTCAAGTTTTATCTTAATTAAAATTTAATTACTTTCTTACTATTTCAATTATGTAAACAAACGCCATATGCTTCTTATATCAGAATATTATAACTTTCTTTCATGAATACTTTAATTTATAAAATGTTTTTTATTAAAATTAATTAAAATAAATAAAGTAAAAGAAAGTCAAATAAGGTAATACCTGGGAATTAAACATTTTGGGCAATTTAATGCAAAATTAAAAAAACTTTTTAGTAATTAAAGCAACTTTAGCACCAATAAAAATAAAAATGCGTATACTTAACATAAACGTTTTTTCGATGTAAAATTGTCCGCTAAATATTCCAGTATCAGAAATGTGGAAGCGATTGTAGTGGAAGTAGAGAAAAGATCAAAGGAGGGGATCGATCTTCTGGAACCGGTTGGTTATATAAGTGGGTTGCGGAAATGTTAAAGTGACAGTTTCCTAGTAAATATAAGTTATACATAATTTGCGCCTTTCTTTCACATAGTTTAAACGGTTCTGCAAATTTTAAACAAAGCATTCGGTGTTTAAGAAACTCCAAGATTTTTGGAAAAGACAATAAAATACAATATTAAAGCATTTTGCAGGCATTTTATAAATGTATGCGTCTAGTTACAAAATGTATTCTCCCCAGATGTAATACTATTTGTTATGATGGTATTAACACCAATATTTTCGTTTGAATGCAGTTAATATTATAAATTATAGCTAATAAACTCACGTGGACAGTAGGGTGGTCCACAATTGTAAGGAGGAAAACACCATTGTTGAATTGTATAAAAAAAACGTTGTTGAATCTTGCCTTCACATAGCTTATTTTTATATGTGATTATGTTATAATATTTATGGATCAAATTTGAACTCTTTAGGTTGTCATTTACTGATAGCTCAGAAGGTAAGTATCTCATATTGATGAATTCAAAAACAAAGTTGATAAAACCGCTATATTTCAAATATTCGACATATTCGATGTATCTAAGAAATGTAAAGTCGTTCATTAAATACATTGCATTTGATACGACAGCAAGTAATACTGGTTTCTACACTGAAGCTTCGTAAAATTCTTGTCTGGATTGATGCCGGAATCATGCCATGGAGCTTATACTTTCGGCTGCTTTTTATATTCGTGTGGATACAGCTGGTCCGACAGCTTAAAATTTTATTACTTAAAAAACAGCTTCTTCTTTAATATCCTTATTATTGAAGGTACCACCTTCGTGAAAAGTGTTGAGAGTTGTTAATGATACTGTAGAGCAGGGAATCAGTCTTATTCAAAAATCCAAACAGTTACTGACCAAAACACCAAGAAAATAAAAATATTTTTTCGATTCTCCTATGAAAATTTGTAATCTTTTAAGAGTTGTCAAAAAAATCAGCTCGATTTAAAAAACTTAAACTGAGATATAAGTTGAAGTATTTTTAAATTTCTTAAAGATTGGTAAAGGCATTTTAGAGTTAGAATTTTTTACTTAGTATGCATTAATTTTGACACGCAGTGTATAAATAAATAAAATAAAATTAGTTGGTGAGCGACCCCCACAAAAATTTTAATCAAGGTATTTTTAAAGAGAGCTCCTAAAACATGGTTAAATAAAATATTTTCATAAGAGACTAAAAAAAAATTGGTCGATCTTTTTTGACACTGACAAGGGTGAAAAAGAGATGCAGTATATTCTTTAGCTATAGTAGTCGCAACTCACCGAAAACCGTTTCCTGAGCCATCAAAAGTTGTAGTTTTTGATTTTAGTGTTGAAATTATTTTCCAAATATACCTACGTTTAATTATAGGCGACCTCGACCTAGATGTCATACATTAAAAAAAATTTGTTAGGCTTAAATATTTAAAACTTTTATTTTTAGACCACTTTTACATTATATTAATATTTTTTTTATTTAATAAATAAAATCCATTAGCTAAATTTGGACATTAACATAAAAAATAATTTCACGACATTGCGAAAAATCAAGGGACCATTTGGAGCATTTTCACTCTATATAAACAAATTAAACTTTCTATAGTCCCAGGGACTCTGCAAGGCCGCTCAATCCTTTTTCGATTTTGTTAAATTTTTTTGGCACAAAAATCATTTTTAATTTTTTTACCTTTAACATAACAAATGCGCTTCAAAACCTCTTGGGGGTCAAAATAATTGAAAAATGGGATCATGACCCCATTTTAATGTTTAAATCCCCTAGAAGTATAACATACTTTAACTTTTTTATTTGTTTTTAGCTTAAGTCGCATTCATATGCACCATATATTAAATAAGATCGTTTACGGTAAATTTTATTTAGTTCTTATAACATTTTCAAAAAACATTTTATTTAAATCACTTTTCCAAAAACTTGTTAAAAACTCGATTTATGCATATACAATGTATATTATACATATACGCTAACGCATATATATTAGTGTGTCCGTTATTTACCAAGTTGATTTTTTTCCAACAGCGCCCCCTGAATTTTTAGTTTATACCGTAAAAAAATATAAAACCAAAAAAAGTTCTTATTATTAATATTAAAACATTATCCCTTCAAATAACATGATTTTTTTTACTTTTTACATTTATATTCTATTGAACAGGTAAATATACAGGAATTACCAATAAATTTTTTTGTTGGAAATTAAACGCTCTACAAAAATGCTTCTTTACTAATTCACAATAAAATTACTTATTCAAAAGATATTCATACTCAACGTTAAGTGGACTAGGATAGGCCGAAAAGGCCGAAAAGTTTAGCTACGGCAACTGGGTATACCCATAGGTATTAAAAATTGTGGTTTTACTTCAGTAACAGCCCTGCCAAATGTTAAATTAAAAAAAATACATTTATATAAAAATACTTAAAAATAATAACGTCCTAACGAGCCTGCGCAATTAAATTATTTTTTTAATAATTTTGTAAAAAAATTCATAAATTTACATAAAACCTCTCCGCTAATTTTTTTAAGGTCTAAGATTATCATCCACACTTTAAAATTAAATATTATACGTAATTGTTAATAAATATTATATATACAAGGTGTCCCTAAACTTAGTGGCATAAATTTAGGAGCAGATTAAGCAAGTCAAAATAAGACGAAAACCTAAATAAATATTTTTCCTAATTACTTATGTTTCCAAGATACAGGGTGATAAAGTGTTACCTATCATATAAGTTTTTTTAATATAACTTCTACTCTGGTAGTCTTGGAAAGGTGATATTTTGCGAACAGTCACTTACTACCAAAACACATATTCACACATAATTTCAATTGTTTGAGTGAACACAGTGTCGTAGAAACGGGGGTTGCTTTAAGCTTATTGTCCCATACAAACTTTGAGGTTAGGTTTTTATAACATTTGATACAATTTTTAGATTACACAGTTCGTCTACCATTAAAAAGGTGTACCTCTCAAACTTCGATAAAATAAACCGTTTCCGAGATATTCGAGATTACAATAATTGTTATATAGCATTATTTAAAAGGATTAAAAGGTATATGATAACAAATTTTAGTTTTTAATTGAAAAAACTAAAAAACGGCATCCCATGAGCCTCGAGACTTTTTGCCCTGACCGTCACATTAAAAAAATGTAGTTTTTTCAATTAAAAAATTTGTTATCATATACCTTTTAGTCCTTTAATGCGATATAACAATTATTGTAATCTCGGATATCTCGGAAACGGTTTATTTTATCGAAGTTTGAGAGGTATACCTTTTTAATAGTAGACGAACTGAGTAATCGAAAAAATGCATCAAATGGTATAAAAACCTAACCTCAAAGTTTGTATGGGACAATAAGCTTAAGCAACCCCTGTTTCTACGACACTGCGTTCACTCGAACAATTGTTATTATGTGTGAATATGTATTTTGGTAGTAAGTGACTGTTCTCAAAATATCACCTTTCCACGTCTACCATAGTGGAAGTTATATTAAAAAAACTGATATGAAAAGTAAACTTTATCACCCTGTATCTTTTAAACATACCTAATTAGGAAAAATATTTATTTAGATTTTCGTCTTATTTTGACTTGCTTAATCTGCTCCCAAATTTATGCCACTAAGTTAAGGGACACCTTGTATATATACAGGGTGTCCGGAAAAAGGAGGTCAATCCGTTAACCATATATTCCTTGAGTTAAAACAATAAGACTTTCATAATACCATTTTTCAATTTAGAGCTTCATGTTCGATATACAGGGCGACAAAGTTTGAAATTAAAAACTGATTTTTTTTAATAATTCGAGTAATTGATAAGATACTAAGTTTAAATTCGGTACGCTACTTCAACATAAATAGTTACATTTTTTGAGACCAACAAAACAAAAAACAATTGTCAAATAATCAAAATAGGGGGGTCCAGTACTCACTGACTCCCCCTATTTTTTAGTACGTGCGCCAATGACTTCCAAACGGAATTTTTTCAGGTAATCATTTATTGTTGAAAATGTTTTGTCTCTTATAAAATTTTGATAAAATGATTTGTTTTAGAGATAATTTGTAAAGTATGGGTCAGTCCATATCAAATTTTCAAAAAAAAATTTTTTTTTTGAAAAAATGTAGGTCATGTGATATATCATAAAAAAGTTCTTTAATAGGGCTTTAAAATAAGCCATAACTCACCTTTCTACTTTTAATAGTTTACGAGATATCGCTATTTTTGTAAGTACTTGCAAGACCCAAATTTATCGGAATTTTTTGATTTTCAAAAATCAATAAAACAAAAACCACCCATCGAAAAAAATTCATATATGGGATTTTTGAGTTTTTTAGTGAGGTAAACAAATTTACCAAAAATGATCAAAATCGGAGATGGTGGGGAAGAACCTTTGGTTGATTTGATATGGACTGACCCATACTTTACAAATTATCTCTAAAACAATTCATTTTATCAAAATTTTATAAGAGACAATTTTTTTTTAACAATAAATGATTACCTGAAAAAATACCGTTTGGAAGTCATTGGCGCAC